ATTAGCCGTTTTTGTTGTACGAAAACACCAATACCAGCCTGAGCACCTGTCGTAATATCGACACCTGAGTAGAATAGCTTCCACCCGCATAGGTTCAGGATTACCAAGACCTAGCGTTTAGTTGACGAGAGGAGTGTAGTCCAACTGTGTCGAGTTGCTTCCTTTTGGCCTCATTAACAAACTCTTGTTCTTTCCCAGTGATGAGGATATGTTCCAGTTTCCGACTGTAAGCTCCCACTGACGGTGTCGTTCTCGTGGATCCTTTTCTGACGTGCTATAAAACATCGCGCTGTCTGTCTCCTCCGTTCAGAACGGGTGGCAACTTTTTTCTGACTGGTATCTTCGTCGTCGTGCCTTGGGTCTTCTCAGCTGTTGTTGTTCTGATATTCCCCCGGCTGATAGAGGGTTGTGAGTTTGTTCTGATCGCGTACTTTTTGCAGCCTGTCTCAGTCGTCTAACAGTCTGCGCGGCCATCGTTGATCCGGGCGACGACCGAGCATGCTTAATTTTCAATGACCAGGAAGGGCAGGTGGCGAAATTTTGCGGAGACTGCGCCACGGTGTCCATCCCTCTTCCTTTCTCAACCGGGTTTCCGACCTGCAACGGGGGAGTTGTCAGTAACCGTGTGTATAAGCAAATATTCTGCATTTCTTGCCAGTTTGTGAGTGACAAAACAGAATAAAAAGTAAATTTTTCCTATATTCCAGTATTTTTTGTGATACATGCAGTATTTTTGATAATTTTTGAGATAAATACTCAGTATGTGTTGAGAAACAGTTGATAATTGTTCGCACAACATTGGTAATTGTACGAAAATTAGTAAAATCCATTTTTCAGTTTTTGTAATGATTGCCAGTAAAAGAGCATGATAGAAAATAATATGCATATTTAATGTAATAAATTACATTTTGCGCTAGGTGCATTTATAAATTTTATCCTATGCAAACAGCAGTAATGTAGAGTCGTGATGCCCTACCGAATGATTCTTGTTTTCTTACGTCGGGTTTGCACATTGCCCTGCATTTCAGTCTGCTGTCAGACAGCTTGATCGTACGCCTCGGACGCTCGTGTATTAGCACAACTGATGACTATCTTATCTATATTATTGACATATCAGGGATTTGCGATCCGCGCAACTCATCTAATTGTAACGAAGGACGGTTGAATAAGTTTCTCGTTTAAGGGAATCGTCAGTTAATGAGAAATTTTTTATGCACTTGCGGTTGAACCCAGCACGTTTAATGTTGCTGATTCAATATCATACTGTATGTGCAATGTACAGCCATCGTTTTAAAGCTATTGCTAGAACATTGTTTTTTTTTCAGATACAAAGTCTTTCAACGGTTTACTTGTATATGTACTTTGCGCACCACATTCTCGATGTTTTGCGTCACAGTTGGTTGATTTATTCATTTATAAGAGACATTTTACAACAGCAATGTGCAAACCTATTTCAATAACAAAATATTTCAAATTTTGCTAGTCTCACTTCGATTAAGCGAATTTTCTAGTGCTGCAATTTCGTTATATTTTCAAAAGCTTTGTTATGTCAGTTCTTCCATAGAAGGTGGGACAGATACGTTCTAACGTTTTTTGATCTGTAATATTTTGATGCAATTTTTGATTAAGTTCGTTTCGACTGTTTTTTTCTCTCCTGTAATATTTTTAGATTGTTTACTGTAGTGCTATCCTATCGTTCTTTAATGAAGCTACGTCGTATTGTTTTCTAATGCTTTTCATTTTATGTAAGGTTTGTTCGATATGCGGTCTGACG